ATCAACAACAAAAACAACAGAAGACCTGTTGAGGAAGTAACTGTGGTGTTGCTGCAGAAATATTCCAAAATGGTGGAATGAATTTGCTGCATCCTGGGACACAAGAAGCCCATATTCACATGCACTTCTATTTAAGACCCATTACAGCCACACACAAGGCATAGAGGCTACATTTCCAAAGTTTGGCAAATTGCATTCTAATCTGATAAGTGGAAATGTTATTTGATGTTGCTCATTGGATTCTCAGTGCACTTAACATTTCAAGTCCATTTTCCTGTGTGGGTCTGCTTCAAGTGGTGAAATAACTGGGGCCATGTAAGAGAGAGTCAATATCTAGAAATGTAAAACTTTTATGCTTTTATTCACAGTATGTTTGCCATTTGCACAAAATCTAGAATTTAGCTTTGTCTTACAAGGACAAACTGGAAAAAGTTAGGATAGTAAAGGGTCTTACATAGGTCAGGCTGATGCCACAGGCCTCTTGTGTACCAGACAGAATATTTCACCAACCCTACAGTAATAAGATCATTCACTTATGAGGCAGGCTACTAATCACTAATGGCTGATATCCTGAGAACAGTCAAGACACTGAAGGGAAGGAAGGTGCACCAAGAATTTCCAATCTGTTTCTTGTATGGCTAGATTAATTTTTTTCTTTGTTATGTTGTCATTTTAATAAGCCTTTTAATCATCAAAAGAGGAACCTCTAACAGTGGCATGGAAGGGGAGAGTTGATGAAAAGACTAAATGAAAGATCAAGTCAAGATGGCGGGTTGAGCTGATGGAAACAGACAGCATGCGCCAAACAACGGGTCATGCTCGACGCAAAAATACAGAGGTGACACAATTTTAGAGAAAAGACAGAAAGAGAAAAAGGCAGAGACAGGAGAAGAGGAGGAGAGGGTTTGGTTTCGTCCTGTGACCTCGACACACTCACCATCCTCTGTTGGAACATAGATGTTTAGATAAAGACAATCCTCATGTTGATCCTGTATGTACGTGGTAACTATATCCAGGTTGAACGTGAACCATATTGGCATCATGATCTCTGGCACAGCATTGTGAATATTTTGAGGGCAGACAGGAGCAAAGTGGGTGGCGTTCTTGATTCCTGACCAAGAAGACGGCGGCTCAGGGGGCATGAAGCGTTTTTCTCCCACTGGGGAGGCGGCGTATGGAACCCCAAGATACTGATCCACTGGGCCCAGAATCTCACTAGGCAGGGGCACTCTCACCCCTCGGAGTTTCCCATACTGAGTGTTCACAGTGGGGTAGTAGTTCTGAGCTGTCACAGCCACAAAGCACCAACAAAAACTTAAAATCCACAAGGACACGCTGAAACTGGTGCAGCTGTGGGCACAGAGGCAGTTCTGCGAGGGGAGATGACTTCTCCTTGAAGAAAACCACATTGTCCTTGTGAGCGAGTGCAAGTGCAAGTGACCAACATACAAGCTGGGGCACCCCCTCAGCAAACACACAGGCTTCCTGCTCAGCCCTGCAGTCTAGGCACCTGAGGGACAGTCATCAGCTGTGATAATGGAACCTGCCAGCTGACAGATGAGGAGAAACAGTCACAGTTATGTATTCCTCTACACAGCCAGGTCCTTATTCTCTGTCCTCTCTCTGCTCATCAGATCTTCTAGCCAGTGCTGCAACAGAAAAAGACAGCAACAGAAAATTAATGACAGTTTCCTGACAGCCCACATGTTTGCTCCCATTTTTATTGACTTGTGCAGTCCGTTTCTGTCATGACATAAAACAGCTCACATAAATATGACAGTGCTCTTATCATCACTCCACATAATCAGGAACCTTCCTTTGACTTGGATACTGCAATTAGATCTTGGGCAACTTATCAAGATGTGCCTAATAATACTAATATGACAGCTAAGATGTGAAACACATCGACTGGCAGTATGTAATTACTAATGTTTATATTAATAGGTAAAGAATAGCAACATTTACAGGAATATCACTACTATAGTACAACTCAGCAGCAGTCATAAAAGTCAAGATGGCACCCTCAACACAGGACCCTAATAACATGATAAAAATGTCATGTCCTGCTTTATGTTATGTAATGTAATATGTTCTCTATGTCTCTCTTTGGTATAGATATGAACAAAGCAAAACTTAAAATTCAGCCCTTGTTTTCTCTTCCAGGAGATCAGTTTTTGGGATAAACAGAAGAAGGGGTAGAGGAGGATATAGCTACAGGCAGCACACATTCCTTTAGTGACAGTGCTATAAATGCTAATCAGCAGTCCCATGGTGAACCAGTGGTGCCAGTGACAACACCATCCCACACTGCCTGATCAATTTTCAATTTCTGTAGCTTAGAGTCCCCCTCAGCCTTCGTGTGCCTGCTGCAGAGTTCACTCTAATAACAATAGAGAAGAAAATCCAGCATTTAGAGGAGGATATTGCATTTCAAAATGATGTGTAAATGATTTATAATGTACCAGCAGCCGCTGGAGTGCCACTAACCACTGAGAGAAAGCAATCTTGACGTTCCTGGAGGTGCTGTTATCACTAGGCAGCTATTCCCATCTGCTGTAGCCGTGCATCAGCGGAAAGCCCACCGCTGCGATCCGCATGTGTACATATAAGACCTCACTTCATATCCAAAACACATGCGTACATTTCGTAAACACTGAAGATGAGCGCACCTTCACTGATACTTGTGTAAATGAAAACATGTACGGTGGACAAATCTGCCCAGGGACTCCGGCGCACTGAGAACCTGCTAAGTGATAATACATAAGAAGCCATTCATATCTAGTCTGGGGACCTAAAGGCATGCATTGCTGGGGGCCAACAGCTGGCAAAGTCTTCAAAATGCTACAAAAGTCCCTTCCCTGCCTGTTAGACTCTCTACAGCAGACGCAGAAGAGCTAGCAGCCATTATTTCCGTACTCCTATGTAAAAGACTATAACGTTAAAAGTATTTTTCCTGTTTATTTTTATACAAGACAAGCATATGCCATCCACCAATGCCACATACCACAACATTAATAGTCTCAGCTTGAGTAAAACACTTGAACCTAAATGGACCTTTAAAAGGATACACAGCTCACCAAGAAAATCTCTATGAACAACACAATACACAGAAGAAAACACACTTCAGTTTAATTGTTTAGTCCACTAAATACTACTATCATGAAGCCTAGAAGGTATAATGATCAGTGTTTTTCAAACAGCTTTAAAGAGGTGCTGATTCAACTTTGTGGTTACTATAGTGGTTGTAATTTGACATGCTGTTGAATTGAATTGTGCTACACTGACAGGTGTTTCTAATATCTTGTCCACCTGTTTTAAATGGTATCAGCACATTCAATGGCCATCAGTGAGAGCATACATAGATATGGGTCAGCAGGGCCCTACGCCACCCTTTATTCAGCTCAGTATGCTGTTGTCATATGCCACACGGTCACTGTCATGGTTACAATAATAAAATGTGGGCCACACAAGCTTTACACACAAGCCCCATACAGAGACAAAAACCAACAATGAATTCCATGTACTCAGTGTAATGTCTATAAACCCAGACCCTGCTGGTTCCTTTGTACAGGAGACCTCCACTGTAAAAAAAAAAAAAAAAAATACTATTTCAGTACAAACACACAAGTGAGATATGCTGCATGCTTATTTTTTGACAGATTACTGCCATTAGAGCAGAGTGCATGCATGTGCAATTGACTCTTCTTTACTTCAGAGACTGTACAAAGTAATGGCCTTTTTAGTCTATGGACATAACCACACATTTTGTAAGAAAATACCTCACCCAGTGCAGCTGTGTAGCTCACTGCTGTGTTTTAATAGTATTTTTTGAACAGTGGAGCTGTACGGCACAGACAAATATGCTAAACCAGGGTTTGTTTTCAAATGTATTATGGTCAGTACACAAAATTCATTGATGACTATAATGTGTGTCTGGGATTTGTGGAAATTACAAAAACATAGAGAATCACCCACCTTACCCTTTAAAGGAGTGATAAAACAAAAAACAATAACAAACATTTAAGCAGTTGATAACAACCCAAACAGTTTATAGCCACCTCATTTATATGAATGAAAATGTTGCTCACCCCTTTTACAGCAAATCAGTGAGTGAATATTAGAAACCCTTCTCAATAGAACGTAAAACAATTCAACAGCACCAGAGAGCCACAGCATCTAAAACGACCATAAAGATGAATCAGCACTTCTCTAAAACTGTTTCTACAATGATTTCAGCAATAACTGACCTTTACATTATACCATTCATAAAGGTAGGACATGTTGCAGAGCTGTTGTATTGGACTGCATTACTTTTAACGTGGTGTACCAGATATAATTCAGTGTAAAAGTATCATAAAACCTAATGGAAGGGGGGTATGAATATCCAAGCCAACATGTCTGATCCCTCTTCAAAACCTATTTTAACTTGAGTTCACATTGATCACATTTATGAAGAGTTCTGTAGGTGAGAAGTTCCACATATTGATCCCTTGAACAAAGAAAGGTGTCTGTCCAAAGGCACTTGTTTTCTGCTTTTATTTTTAACTGAAGCCATTTCTCTTTAGATCAGCACACACAGCAGCAGAAAAAGGTGTGATAACACTAATTCAATGCTGAGATAAAATACATCAGGTCAAACTTTTTAATCAGGACATAGCAAGGACATAGGACAGTGTGATGGAGTGTGTGTGTTTAGAGGACACAGCGCAGAGGACTTCATCAGTCTCCCCTCCAACTGCATCTCAGAGGTCCTCTCTGCTTTGATCTCTCTACCTGCTGAAGTCCTGCCAAGGGAGGAACAGAGAGAGAAGGAGAGAGAGAGCGACTGCATGAGTTCTCCCTCATCATCTCAGAAATATTGATCGCCTCATCAACGTGGCCTTGAAGCCCATAATAAATACAACTGGGGTGATGGAGGCTGTTGGAGGGGGGCTGACTCTATGGGAGGTTATTAGCCCTTAATGCAAGAAGGCACTTCACCAAGTACATGCTCTTAAACACCCTCATCCTCAATTTCTTGGTCCCTGATTAATTGGACATGTTAAATTCTGCCAGTCCAGTCCATATTCATCAATATTCAAAAGTCCCCCGATGGCAGAACATGTGAGTTGTCCCCATACAGATCCCGTATTTTAAAGAAAATATATAGACTTTCTTCCTCTTTATTTTGGTCAGAGCCCACAGCCATGTACACTTACTGTAAAAGACCCTTTGTTCTCCTACAGCGGAGAGATCTCTGCATCGCAATAAAAGTCTGAGCATAGAGCCAAATGTACTCCTACGCCCCGACATCCCTTAGAGAGCAGCTGAATGGACTCTGATAAAAAAGGAACCAATAAGAGTTCTGAGTAGATGGAGCTTCTAACTCTCCCCACTCTGTTATTATAGTAGCTGGTCTGCAACAGAAGCATTCACAAAGCTGCATTAGTCCTCTGAAACAATAACTTCAAATGAAGTGAGCCATTCCAACCTGAGAGAGTATTTAACAATATATAATAATATAATTCCTGATTACAAATGCTTCTGGTGCTGTTATAACTAAGACAGAATATGCCATTATAGGAACGATAAGAGACAGGCAACAAGATGGGAACCAGAAGAACCTGTGTGTCTGGGCAGTTACCTCGGCTGAACTCATTAAAATGTAAGAGGCGATGGTAAAAACTTAATTTAGTGTCTTCACCTTCTTTTTGTTCTCCACTATGCATCAGTGCAAAGGCTCCATTTTGAGATAAGCCTGACTTATGATAGGCTTGCTTTTTTGGTCTTTGTGTCAATAATGTGAAAAATACATCTGTAAATTATCGGCGTGTTTCTTTCAAACAGGAAAACAGGGATTTCAACATGCAGCAAAATCAATAATGAATGAATGTAGACACATACTGTAGTTCTCCTCTCGCAGCCACGCTCTTTATATAAGCCCCTGGGCTTGACGAACAACAGCACGCCATCTTACATCAAGGAGATTGACATGTTTCAGAAACAACATTCACAAAGTGTCAAACCCAGACTGCGCTTCATAAAGCTTATGCTGGGAACCAGTGCCTCTGTAACAGTGAGGGATGAGGATGCACTCTTCCGTTCCTTTGCTCTATTTGTCAGACACAGAGCCTGTGCAGTCATTATTACTAAGATCTGGCATTAAATCAAGGACAAAGACACGGCACATTCTGACTGCTAATCACCACGGTGATGCTGACATATTTTTAAAGAAGCAAAAGGGAAATGGTGAGGAATGATGGTGCTGCTGCTGCGGCTGCCAGCAAAGCTCGGTGTCTCTACCCCTTCTCCTGGCTGCTGGATAAAGGCTGTCATGAGCATCATTACCAGTCAAATGGCCAAGGAAACATGGAGAGGTGAGCTAGGCAGGCCAAATAATGATAGATTCTAGGTGTGTGCATGCTGAGATGAATTCTGTGGCTGCACAGCAAATAATGGCCATTCTGTTAACTGCTGACAGTGCTCGAAACAACTGTTAGCTCTTTGTAACCAAAATGATAAGGACAGATTTGATCCACAAGTTTCCAAGCTGCAAGTCGAGGCAGTGGACCCATTCCTACATCTGAACTGCCTCTCTTTCTCTTGATTGGGTATGTACACCTCAGAGTGTCAGATACAGTTCAGTCAGTAATACAGTATATGCAACAAT